AGTTTATTTATTGATACTTGCAGTCTCTTGTTGTTTTACTTCTCAAAACAATGCTTTTCGGTGAGAATTGGAAAGATAATTATTGACACATCGAAATTCGCATTTACTTAGATTTATGTTCATTAATTCCTTCAATTTGATTGCATTTATTTAACTCCCAGTTCTACCGTTATTTGATTATGTTATTGTCTACTTTTACTGTTATTTATTTAAGTTCCATTAACGTTCTTTACTCATTATTATCTTAATTAAATTTTGTGTCACAATGCCTATTTATTACCGATAATGTATTATTAATTAATTCGTCAAAATGGATGATAAAATACGGGAGAGGAGCCAGCAATTATTCAACAAATATGCCAGACAAATTCATCGAAATAAAATTGGCGTTAATTACGCGAGTTAACCGTGTTGCAGGTTATTAAGGATTGCCAGTGATCCCTGAACATTTTCAGAATGCACGCTCTATATTGGAAATGGGGTTTAACGACCGAGTATAATTGGCGATCCGATAACAGTACGCAACACGCTCGAGTATAATAATAATTAAACAGTCATTTTTGCAAATCTGTCGCTGCAAATAATAACCGAACACTTCAGTGGTTCTCATATTTTTGAAACTCTTGTATCTCGCAATTAGATTTTCCTTCCGTTTTTAATTGGGGAGAGTCTATTAATGGAAATTAATTTGGCGTGATAGGGCCTAAGCACAAAGATGATCGTAACTGTATAAAAACGACTCACGTTACATGACTCAATTACGACCATCTTTGTGCTGAAGCCCTTAAGCTGCAGACAATTTTAAGTTACAATACTAGATTCAAAGTTAAAAATGTAATTTGGAGTAAAAAAATTTTTAATATAAAGATCGAAGATCCGAAGTTTAAGTTCCAATTATTTAAGAATTCATAAATTTAATAACTTGATTATCAATTTAGATTTATGAGAGAGAGAGAGAGAGAGAGAGAGAGAAACGCGCCCTGCCTTTTTTACACACTACACGGAAAAAAAAAATTTAAGTAATTTAGATAATTTTCCAGTTATAGACATGTAATTTCCATGTAAAATTACACGCATTTTTTTTTCAGTGTAGTGTTATATTCAAAACCGTCTTAAGTTCAGTCTTGAGATATCACGAATCAATCAGAGGCCGATATTCAAAGTCGGTTCTTATTTTAAGATCGTTTTAAGTAATGTCTTAAGATGCTAACACGGCCCTCTGATTGGTTCGTGACATCTTAAGACTGTAGTTAAGTCTTGAATATAAGAATCGACTATTATGTATACCGGCCGGAGAGCCGCATTAGCGTCTTAAGACATTACTTAAGACGATGTTGAAATAAGAACTGACTATGAATACCAGCCTCTAGCCCGGTTTTTCATTACCTGGTTAACTTGTGATTAGGCTTAACCTAATGTTTTATCCAATAGGCTTCATCTATGATATCATCACACTATTAGGTGAAACATCAGGTTAAGCTTAACCACAAGTTAACCAGATAATGAAAATTCGGTCCTTAGAGTGATTAGCCGGAAAATCCTTTTCCAGAGATTTATTCAAAAAGCCGGATTCTCTCTCTCTCTCGTCTTTGTCTCTTTGTGACATGGTCTGATCTTACCGCAAGTTCTGAATTTTGTGTCCTCGGATCCTCAAATGTTTCGGTGTCTTTTATTAGTCTTCGGAAGTTCCGTTACGCAGCACCGGAATCCTCGTTAGAATCCGAACCAGTTCGGAATTATCTTGGCAAAAAGGCATGGGCGGTCGTCGCGATGGAAGGGAGGAAAGCGTTCTTTATTAAAAATTCTTATTCAAAGTACGCCCGTAACAGTAGCTCGTAAAAGAAATCCTGTCGATGCAGGAAGAGAGCTTTAATAAAGAAATCCTTAATGGTGACGGCAAAATTGCCGATCGTCCTGACGCTCCTTCGGGAATGACGATGAGTCGTTCAGTTTATTAAAAATCTTTTATTTACGACGTCGTGATGATGGAGAAATTGCCGTCTGCGAAAATTTCATGAATATAATGGGGATTGTGGATGAATTCTCCCTCGCGTGAGAATTTATTGCTAAAGAGATATTTTTGTTAAGAATAGTTCTGATACTTGATGATTGCAAAAAGAGACATGAACTGAAAAAACGATTATTTATAAATATAAATACTTAAGGAACCAGGAAGAGAATTGAGAACTGATGCAAAATAAAAAAAGCTTATCTAAGACATGATATTCAGAATTTGAGACACAAAAATTCAAAAGTTCATGACTCGAGAATCTAATAACAATTCAAAGTTCACAAATTCGAAGCAAACGTAGAGGAGATCAAATTGTTGTAAGTAATACACACGAATTCGATGCAAACCATTTTACACAATTTAATATTATATCAGCAATATACAGAATAAAAAGAAGATAAGTATGACAAAAAAGATAAGAGATAAATAAAAAGAAGGTATAAAAAGAAGAAAATGCTGTACCATACACTGATTGAGTTATTAGCTTTTCGACAATCAAAAAGTATATGACAATTGGGTTCGGGGTCTCCCCTCAATATATGGGAATTTAATAATCTAAAATTTAAGGATTCGAGTTAAGGCTCAAAGATTGAAAAGAATCCAAAGCCTGCGCTTTTAATACTCAAAATTTATCTTCTGAGATTTATAAATGATCTCAGATATCGGGCTGCCAATAAGAATCAAAAACATACAATTGTTCAAGTGTCCAAGAGCAAAAATGTAAGATATATAAGGAACTATTTTTCGTACACACAACACACTGAGAAAAAAAATTTGTTCAACTAACTGAACACATTTAGTTGTTTGCAGATTTGGTTAATTCAACAAATTTTATTTAATTGAATTTAACCTTAGTCTGCTTAACAAGCTGTTCAATGTTAAACAGACTACGGTGTGTTTAGTTAGTTGAATAAATTTTTTTCTCAGTGCAGTAAATGAATAATGGTTGCTATGCAAAGAACAAAATCATTGGTTAAGAAATCGAAAGGAATTAAGGAATGAACAATTCCGTTCGTGTAACTACACCTAAAAAAGGCAAACTTCTGGACAACTCAAATTCGCAGGATCTACGCGTGGTGCCTTTTTGATCTGCCAATAAAACGAAAGTAGATTTGCGTGCCCTAGAAATTGAATTACATGGGGGGAGAAACTTTCTCTGTCTCTCATGGGAACATCATCGAATCCTTACCCCAAAGACGAAAGGAGGCTTGCCTTCGTAACCGGAATCGTTCAACTTGGAAATGTAAATGCGGAATTAATAATTATGATCAAAATATAATTCTTCTTGCAGAAGAAAAAAATTGGAGATTATTCATACTCGTTGACAGAGTAGAACAAGAATAATTGTAAAACAAATTGCTGTTTTCATGAGATAATTGACGTAAGAGATAAGAGTATAATAACGTGATTATCATAACGGCTCTATTATTGTTATAATTATGCATTGTGCTGCTATTATTATGTACTCTAGCATTATTGTGTACAATCGTTATTATATTTCTTCACTATTGCATTTATTTTTGTCGTTATTAAGCTATTCTCTGATAATGTGTATTTTATGCTATTACTATTAACGATATTATTGACGGTAGCAAACAATGGGAAGGCAATGCAATAGTAACGACAAATTAACGAAGTCATTGCGACGGAGGTAGTCGGGACGATTTATTTTCGCGTACGGTTCAATGCTCTTGATTCTTCCTTACTTCGAGTGTTTGTCGAGGAGCGCTCGTTCCCTCGACTTTTATCTTTACGGCGGAACGAATGCTCTCAAGAACAGCCATCGATATTCCCGTCCCGGAAATATCGGGCTTGTTCTTGAGTACGACGTGTTTCAAGACGATCGACCGACCCCTTCCCCACGATAAATTATCGTTTCCTGAAAAATATCCGCCCAAACCCGCCCCGCCCTTCTCTCCGGCGATTTTCAAAATTCTCACTCGATAAACGTATCCCTTCATCGCTCATCTAAAAACAAACCACGAAAAGAAATACTGTTTCATATATATTATATATATATATATATATTATATAAAACCAAGAAAAAGATTTTAATAAATGAATTTAACTTGACAAAATGTCGTTTTTGATAAACTGATGGAAAAAATGGAAGAAATAAAATAAAATGTCCTCATTTTTTGAACATGTTTAATTAATATTGTTTAAAATAAAAGATAAAGTTTGTTTATCTTCAGAAATGCTCTCTATTCTAATTTTTTTATTTTTATATTTTGCATAATGTAATTTATTATTGTTTCTATTATCGAAGGTAGAAGGTGAATAGATTCCAAAAATAATTTTTTTTCCATACGCTGGATATTTCTCAAGTAATACCTACTGTCTAATATTTTAGGAATCTATCTGTGAGATCATTTTATGAAGAGAAATTTATATAAATATATCTCACAATTGAAAGTCTCATTTCAAAGATGTAGACTATTAAAGTTTTATAAAATTATCGCTTTTTTTTAATGGAAAGAAATTCTTTTTAAATTCATAACTAGATAGAATATTATCTTCATTTGCCTATAATGCCGTTTTCTAAAACGTAGTGGCATAGAAACGCGCGATTTAAGTAGATACCTACTGACCCGAACTTGCTAATGAACGGAATCAAATTTGTATAGATTTTTATTACGTTCATTGTAATTTTGTTCATTATAATATCTCTGCTAAAAAAAAGACCAAAAAAAATTATTTTTAAAATTTTTAAAAACCTTTTCAGGAGCTATTAAAAAAATGATAATTTTATAGAATTTTTAACATCTCTATCTCTGAAACGAAGTTTTTAAGAGATTATATATTCATAAAAACTTTCTTCATAAAATTAGTTCTTAAAATATTATACGATGTTTAAGAAACACTCTATATGTCGGTCTCTTAAAATCTATCTTTGTATATTTAATTGTTACGTTTACCTCAGACAAACAAATAATGGAGATTATTTGTTCATAATTATAATGCGTTTACGTTTATACTTCTATTTTAGGTACAAGGATAACAGGGCTTACCCTTGGCCGGGCGGCGAGAGTCACTTTATCCTGTATCCCGAGAGCGCGAATCAAACGATCTACACGCAGGAGATGAGAGCCTCGGATGCGGGACGGTACTCTTGCCAGGCACGTAACGATACAACCACTTTGGAGGGCGACATCACTCTCTCTGTACTCGGTAAGTAGAATATCCTAGGCTGAACCTGATGGGATTCATTCATCAGCCTATATTAGAAGCTCAAAGGAGATCCTTACTGTACCTCCATTTGACATTTATGTAATAGAAATACGTTACGTATAGGATGAGAACGAGATAATGATGAATAGTAATGATAAGATTGAGATCAAAGAGGCTATTCATGGAGAGTGATTGAAATACTATAACATGCAAAAGATTTCTTCTCTCGCGGCATAATTTGCATGTTGCATATATAATTACAGCCATACCTTAATTCAATATCGTTATATATACATTTTTCGATTTTTTCTGGAGTAATCTAGTCGAAGTGAGTTTATTAAAAATTGAATTTATATAATTTTTGTTATAGCATAAATTTTCCTTTGACTTGTTTTTTTTTATTTTTATATTAATTTTAATATTTTTGTATGTCTCAGAAAGTTCACTTATATATACATCTTTAAATTAAAATTAACAACACACACATATAATATATGTAATATGTACTATATATACATATAGTAGTAGTAAGAATACAGGTGGGACTATGACGGCTATGACAGCCGCCTAACGTGACCTAGATCTCTAAAGTTCTATTATCATTCCCTGTTTATCTCCAAAGATTAGGCGGTCCAGCTCAGTCCCGTACCGTGTACTAGGCTTATGAAATCGCCTATCTTTGTTCCGTCTAGATCCTCAGGCATCAGAAACGTGTTGCCCCAGGATCTGTATCTTTTGCAAGCAAGATCAGCGACACAGAAGGTGTACGCTGTCCTCGCTCTCTTCTCCACATAATCGGCAGTTTTTCTGCTCGGCTAGTCCGATGTTGTATAAGGTGTGCTCTGAGGGGCAGGTGTCCTGTGAGGAGGCAAAATATATACATATATATTCATCATAAAAATATTAATCAATAAAGAAAAATTGTAAGTTATGTAAGCAAATTTTAAATTACTTACCTCCTTCTGCAATACAAAGCTCTTTTTAACAAATTACAGCTATTATACTCTTACATGAGTTACAATTTTTCCTTGATGGATATTATGTGTTTACGATGCAAAAATAATTCTTAGACAACTTTCAATGTTTATGTTTGCATTTCTTAGAGCTTGTAAGTATTACTGTTTAAAATACTGGAAATTTGATATTAAACATCAATAAGATAAAAAAAAATAAAAGTGACATTCCCGTTGAATTCGTCTTAAAGATCCCTACAATATTATGAACAAAATTGATGCTATTCAAACAAATTCAACGTGACTTTGATTTTTTATAAAAAAAATTGTTCATTTTTTATTTTAAGTTATTTGCATAAAGTAGATGAATAATTCATCTTTCAACCTTTTTTTAATTCGGAAACGTTCCAGAAATCGTGTAGACTATTAAGGTGATCCCATACAGTCAATAATACTGTCAGTATTAACAAATACGGACAATATTATTGATCATGTGTTAATATTGATGGATTGACGTAGAATACTGACGGTGATCTGGATTTTGATTCTCGAGCATCAGCATCGCTTCTAATAAAGCGATGCTAATAAATCCATGTCACAGTATATGCCATCGTGTAATAGATATTGCACATAAAACTAAAGTGAAATATATTGTCGATAATATTGATCGTGTAAGGTTGCAGTAAAAATACTAAAGATATTGATGCGTACTGTCAGTATTACTTATTCAATATTACTGATCAGTTTTATTGACCGTGTAGGGTGTCACTTTTATGTTGAACACTTATATTTGAAAGAATGTAATTTTTATATATTATTTAAAAAATTTTGTGTGAATTAAATTTTATAGAAACAGCTTAGCTTCTTTCTAAAATCTCTTTCTGTTTTATGGAGTTTTAAGAGATGACCCACGATTGTGGATTTATAACTAAAGCAATAATCGAATTTTTTTTAATTTTAAACGTTCGTAATAACAACAACTAAAAAAAGGAAGCATCAATCGGAAAAGTGCACGCGTTCGATTTGAAACGCTGTCGTTGCGATTGAAAAAAAAGAGCGCAAAATTCGGATGATCACACGAAGATGCGCCTTTGACGCTCCCATTCAAAATAAAAGAGGGGCAGAGGACGCGGGGGAGGGTACAGCCCGATCGGGGACGAGTTGTCGCAAAAAGCGTTGCAAAACGTCAATCGCTATCGTCGACAAAACGATACTCGTTTTCGATGTCCGCGTCAAAGAGCCTCGTCATCATGATACTGTCATGTAGAGATCCCGTGGAACACAATGTTGGCTCGTATGAGAAAGAGAGAGAGAGAGAGAGAGAGAGAGAGAGAGAGAGACCCCTCTGCGATTCTTTCCGGAACTTTTTCAGCGTCCGGAACCTTTGTTATTCCGGACAAATCTTTCCTACCGTTTAATCAAACGTTTCTTTGCCAGACGATACAAATTCGGATAAAGGTATTGAGATCTAAATAGAGGACGAACGTTGTGAGTTTATTTTATAAATAATATTTAATCGGTTTTATTCTCAATTTTTTTCTCCTTTCCAATTATATAAACGAAAACGTATTGATTATTCACTGTGAGCGATGGATTTAAGATAATAAAAAACAAAACCCGAGATAAAACAAAGTATTGAGAAATAAAAAATGTGCTTTTCTTTTCAAGTAAAGATTTTGTTGCTCCTCTTATCTATGATGGATCGATAATCGTTCCTCCTGAAATTCATCTTTGCGTTTGTTCCCGCGAGATAACATAGCATGGTGTGTATATCGAACGCCCACGAATGTATCGATCCGGAATTTCAATTAAATCTCTCTCCCTCTCTCTCTGTGTCTGTCGGATCTGATCAGTTCCGGGCAGTCAGTTCGCTTTTCCGGCGCATGTTTTCGGTACCGGCGTGCATGGCAGGAGAAAACCTTTAAAAGTGTTGTATTGTTCAGCCACATCGATTTTTATGACATCGGAACATCGTTTTCCAACCAGAGACTTGAATCGTATTTCAGGGGCAGTCATCAAATTTTGGGATTTTAACAGAAAAGTCAGGAAAGTGAAAGAATAGCAGTGACTATATATTTGTTAAAATAATTAAATGATTATTAATATTACAAATTTGTATCAATTAATTTTAATGTCCATTAATTTGTTTCTTAATTGTCCTGAACATTCGCAATATTCGTGAATTTTTTAAATACGCGCATGTATTAATAAATTTTATTAATCATTAATTTAATGTACTTGCATTCATTATTTATTATTAAATATGAGATTTAGGTAAATATGTCTGTATATTTTTCAAAGTAAATATTTATTTTTGTTATAATTATCGTCCTTAATGTTTATAATATAGTGAATTTTTTAAATATCCGCATGTGCTATAAAATTTAAAACATATGTGAAAAAATTTTTACGTTAATTTATTAATTTAATATACGTCCACGTAAAAATATAAAATATGAGATATAATTATATATATATCATTTTTATATTTATGGTAAATTTTTTATTTCATGTTCACGTATTCTTCAAGTCTTTAATTTCAAATCTTTAATTTTGTTATAATTATAAAAAAAACGATATTTAAACATATAGGAAGAGGGAGAGAGTGAAATAAGAAATTCAAGATCATCCACTTCATCACTTCTACAAGATAAAGTTAAATTTGGTCGGGTAATGTAATCGCGGAGAGTCGTCGTAGTGTCGTATTAGAATTCAGTTGGAAAACGTCGTTTTAGAAAATTTCGCCTTTTCGCGGGCGACGAGGGTGAATTGCCGAGTTAATATTCATCGGAGGAGCGACCACGCTTCCGGTCGTCTACGGCTCCTAAACCCCTCGATTTAGCACGCATTCGTGCACCGCCGTTCTTCCTTAGTGTCCTACCTGTCGATATAACCAACTTCCAGTTTCGCCTCAGCAATTTGCCGGAAGTCGTCCAAGAGAATTTCGAACCGGCGACGTTTAACCCTTTGAGCACATATTAAGTTTCACTGTTCAGTTTTTTGTCTCTTCAATTCATCTGTCGTCAAATAATTCTCACAATCAGCTATCAATCAATTTATCTACGTTAAAAATTGTATTACGGATCAAGAAATATTTTAAGGCTTGAAGAATAACATTGAAATATTTTCTAGTCACGGTGATTCATCGTATATATTTGTATTTCATTTGTAAATTCATTTGTGAAAAATTAATTCTGAATTCACTGAAGAATTGGAGATTGAAACAACGTAAAACGATTCGATCCGCATTTTTATATTGTATTTTTATCGAGTAATTCAATGAATTATACATCCTTGGCCAAAAGCCAAAAGTATAAAGAATCCTCGCAAATTGACGTAAACATTTTATGTCTAACGAAAAATGAATTATCAAATAACTTTATTGAAAAATAATATTTATTTTATAAGTTTTAATATCTTGCTGTTTTCTTGTTTAATATCATGTTGTTTTCCTTTGAAATTTATTATCATCTTTTCTAAGAAATTACGATAAATTAAAGGTGCTTTATATTCACGGCTAAAGCTGTATAGCTTTAGTAAATTAAAGAAGTTCACGCGGAAATGTTTTTCTGTATTGCTCATTTACTACAACGACACAATTAAAAAATTGTTATTTTGGAGTTGCTTACAGAAAAGAACGGAAACGTAAAAAAAGAAAGAACATACTTTTATTCCGCTAAAATCAGTTGTTACTCCAAAATTACATTTTTAAATTATTAATATTACAAATAATTTTAATGATTTAAAACATTCAAACTCATTTTCTGGATTTTGTTTTCAGAATTGTGTTGTTATTATAACAAATGGAGCGGTATATTAGTCTCATGTATTTTTATTAAAGGCACTTTGCACAAGATGAAGGGAAAGATAATTAACATGAATACAAGGATTATAATCGAGAGTGGACGCTTTTCTTCGCGTGCCTTGGGAGTAGATTAATGAATAAATTCCTTACACGAGCTAAGAAAGCAATCGCTTCGCGGAAAATTGTCGGTCAGGAAAATTGGTACGACCTGATCTTTCTCTCTCTCTCTCTCTTTCTCTTCT